GATTAACGTTCAACTTAGAATGTTGTCAATTTTTTAACGAAAAAGGACGAGTTTGGAACATAATGAATAGTCAGATGTCCATTTTGTAACTTTTAATAGTCAAGAGATTCAACAAGGCAACTCTCTATAAACGAGGGATCATTTTGTAATTTTTAATAGTCAATGGACTCAATAAAATAGTATCCTATAGTCAAGAGACCATTTGTGTACTTTACTAAAAAAAATCCTTTTGTCTACTCTATTTTCTCCATCCTTTTGTTTGATAATCAAATGTAGGGTTGGGTTAGTTTTCATCTCAAACATATTAGGAAGCAGTGAGGCTTAAAGGCTCATTTTTTATTATCAAAAAGGCTAACTAATTAAGGCCCAATATATTAGCCCAATACTCAGCAGAGCATAATCCTTCAGAAGTTATCAATCACCAATCATATTGCTTCCCTAAAGTATAGATTCCAACAGTAATATTTGATTTAATCTTTGTTGAATTTATTCTTCTATAACAAAGTGGCAGAACAATTATTTCTAAAAAGCCTGCAATATTTTTGAATTTTAAAACACTTATATTAAAAAAAATTAGAAGATCATAATTATAAAATTTTAAACATGTGAAATTAGGTAATCGATAAAAAAAATTAGAAAAAATTATCTAAACTATATAGAGATTTGAAAATTTTAGGAGATGCGATCTCACTCCTTTCATCTCTTTTAAAGTTTTATTAGTCTACAATAAGGCTGTAAATGAGACGAGACAGATCGTGAGCTACTCGAAATCGATTTGGTCAAAGCTCAATAAATACTCGACTTGAATAGACTCGACTCGTGTTCTTAACGAACCTATACGAGCTACTTTATACTCAACTCAAAAAAATAATATATTAGAAATATATTTTTAAATAATTAAATTAATAAAAATATTAACGTTTATGTGTTGATTTTTTTTAAATGCAATATAAAATTTTCATGTACTTAAAGTTTAGGTTTGAGTTCGAGCTTCAACTGAGTTAAATTTAAGAATTTTTTTATTTTGAGCTTTTTCGAACATCAATTCATAGTTTCAAGTTCGAGTCGAGCTTAAAAATTTTAGGTTCACGAGTTTTCAAACTGAGTCGAGTTTTTTTTAGAGTATTCAAGTCGTGTCACACTCTAATTTAAAGGCTAAATTTTATTGATTTAAGTAAATTTAATGGACTAAATTACAAGTTTTAGAAACTTTCAGCTCGGGTTGAAACTCTGGGAAGTTCAGGGACTTAACCCCAAATTTTCCCATTTTGTGTTAACATAGAAAAATAAATTTTCTTCCCCCGATCGGAAGCAAAATCCCCAATTTTCCCACATCCTAGCTTCAACCTGCCGCTCCCCGCCTTTGCCAAATCCATCTTCGTTCGATCGCCGTTGAGCGCACCACCACCCTCATCCAACTCGCAGTCGACCGACAATAAAAACCCGAGCCTCTTCACACCGAACCCTGACTACGTCAGCCATAGAAGTTCATTGCAAAGCTTCGCCGAAACCCACCCCCCATCGCCTCGATTTTTCGTGTTTTTCGGTCGATCCGGTGGCCGTCTCACTTCACCACCCTCACCGTTTCTTTCCATAGACGAGTCTGATCAAAACCCGATAAGGATCGTCGTTGCTCCGTTCGATCGTCGTGGGTAAGTTGTTGGTCAGTTTTATGGTTATTTTCAATCATGATTTTGGCTTGGTTTGGAATTAATTTGGTTGTTTTGGATGTATGGATGATTTTGGAGTAATCAGGCCGCCTCAACTGATTATACATAATTGATAATTAATAATTGGTAATACTCTACTACCTTTTATATGCTTTCTGGAGCACATTGATAATTGGTAAATGCATGAACGGAAATAATTGATCCATGAGGTGTATTTAATTATCATTGGACTTAAACTGATTATGGAATAACGACAAAACACTGTAGAAAACTCACACTGCTCGTAAAAGAAACTGGTAGACTGATTGGAAATATTTTTAAGTCCATGAATTATGCAATAATAAATTGATCTAAAGGTTAAATGCAGGGAATAAGTGATTATGAAATTACGAAAATACAGTCATGAGGTTAAAAATGACCAAGTTGAACTGAATGGAAGTACCGTATGTATCCGTATTATGGAAACGATTGAATTACTCTCGAAACTCTGAAGTGATCAGGGTAAACTTGAATACCAATTTACCTAAGTACCTTCAAAGACCTATAATTAAACGTATAACTTGGATAAGTCTAGAAATGATGATGAACTTATATGTTGTACCGTACATAAGGGTTTTGAACTACGAATCACGTCGACATTTCGTGATACCGTTGCAACACATAAATGAAATAAATACCATTAGAATACATGTTCGTCTCCCTATGATCCATTCATCAATGATCTTGATTTTGATCAGTTCAACTAGTGCAGTCAGTGTTAAGAAATGAATAATATTGAAGTATTATAGTACAAATGATTGACAAGTATCGTAGTGTTGGGATATGTAGTTCAATCGAACTTGGAATCCTGATAATTCAATATTTATATAATCTTGAAATATTAAACAACTCTGAACAGATATATCTGACAAATTACCCAAAAGGTGCATATGTGAAATGAATTTATCGAAATATCATCGAGTGTGGAATATTAAAATAACTAAGATACTCAAATGACTGAAATACCCCTAAACCCCAAAAAGATTAAAATACCATGAACTTCAAGATGACTGAAGTAACCTCGAGTGTTGAAGTGACTAGAATATACTAACGACTTGAAATAAGTGAATTTATTTGGACAAATTCTAGAAACACCAACAAACTTATGTTGTATCATCCCTAAAGGTTATGGAGCATAACTCAAGTGTGTTGAGTATTCTTGATACTGATATATCCTAGAAATGTATAATACCATCAAATACATGACAGTCTCCTCTAATTCTATTCAGTGGTGATTCTGAAAGTGACCAGTTTAATAAGTGTAATCAATATTAAGAATTGTGAAGTATATTAGTTTGTAATATTGATAAGTTTTAAAGGTGGAGATCGGTTAGTATGATTTGACTCAAAATCATGATAATTCGGTATAAATTCATAATATTGTAAACTATCATTTTACTCTTATTGGATTAAGTTACTAGGAATCCATCAAAAATTAAAACGTATGGAATACTCCTATTTGTCTGAATAATGGGAACATTTATGTTATGTCGAAATCTTCAAAAACTCTGATGTAAAAGATTCGAAATGCCTTTCAGATACTCAATTGCCTACGAAAAATATTTAAATATTATATGATCTTGATAAATCATTTTCCGAATGAATGATGAATCAATTAGTTATTAAACCCCCATTTTATAGGGATCTTGATTATGAAATTCTATTAAATTACAAAAATTTCATTATTCTCTACCTGATAAATACCAAATATCTCCGAATAATATATGCATCCTCTAGTGTGATCCTTATGTGACATGTAAATGTTTTACATGTCTTAAACGTGATTTTCCGAAATCACTAAATTACTGGTTTATGAACTATGGTTACTTGAAATATGTTCTATGGTTTTCTGTTTTCACTGGAAAATATGTTAGTTCCTGATTTATGGATCATGAAATCTATTGGTTACTACTTGAACTATTTTATTGGGACAATATCTGGGTAGGCTAGAGTATGGATGTTCAGCTCTGATCAAGCTGGTAAATCCTTACAGACCTAAGGTAACCTTTGGGTAGGCTCTAAGGCCCCGGTAAACTTTCTTGGGTAGGCACTCAGGCCCCAAGACACTCGCTTGGGTTAATCATGGGACTACATATGGTGTACGGGTGAATGGCAGTTATATGGTTTATTTCATTGTCATGCTTACGAGATTTTACTGGATCACGATCCATATATTATTGTTACTATTAAATATGATTTCTACCGGATATTGTATGGATAGGATTCTGGAGTATGGAGGTTCAACTCTGATCAAGCTGGTAGATCCATACAGACCTAAAGAGGCCATTGGGTAGACCCATAGGCCCCAAGGCATTCCCTTAGGGTGGCTCCTTTGATGTGTGCTTAGGGTAAGTTCTTATGGATGCAGATCTGGGGAACTGCATAAAAGTGTCTGGTTTGAGGGTTATACTATGGTTTTAAAACTATGTTTTAAACTGTTATTGTTTTAAAAAAGATTTATATATTTTCACTGGTTTTTGGTTGGAACACACTAGACATCATATTTCGATCTCTTGAAAACTTGGTACTCTGAATGTTTCCTTTGAACTGAAATCTTCATGGCTTTTACTCGATGAAATATTAGTGGAACCTTAGCTCATTACGAAAATCTTTAGACGGCTGAGTCAATAAGGAAAACTTATAATGTTCCTTTTATCTGCATGTCCTTTCGCATCACTTGGTAGTTTTGTATTACTTAACTTCGCAAAGCTCACTCTTTTACTCACCGTTTCAGGTTAAAGGAATTGATCCATTTTAGCTATCGACATCTTCAGTGGGAGTTACTTTAGCTTGGAATGAAGAGTACGGTACAAGGGAAATTAAGGGGCATGTAGGTCATATTTAATTTCTATATTGAGTCTGGAACATGTATAATTTTAATTATGTTTGTGTTATATGAATGACTTTATGAACTTGTATTTTAATTATAAGTTGTTTTATAAATATAATTATAAATGACTAATTTTTAACTACAACCACTGTATCTATTTATAAATATAATTACTCGATTATAAAAGAAATTCGTGTAGCAAGAAATTTACTCAAACTAGATTTTAGTCTTGTGTTGATTCAATGTGCGGCAATGTTCGTACAAAGAGTTATTTGGGAATGCTTTTGAAAGTGTTTTTGATAAAAAAATTCTTTTTAAACGTGGAAATAATTTCAAATAGTTTATTTTTAATCAAAAATTTAGATTTAAAAAATGATTATCCACTCAAATCAAGAAGCTGAAAAATAGGTAGAAGAATCACTACTGAGAGGCATTCCCAAACCGTGTTTATAGAGATTTGATCAAAAAGAGATTAATCAGCTAAACATGCAATCGAACACTTAGATATTAAATATACTGAATGTAAACCATACAATGATTCAATTTATCAGCTACAGATGGGGCAAAGGACCAAACCGTTCTCATTACAGTCCGTACACCTGACCACCACCGTGCTCCTCCCCGACGCTGGTGTCGCCGCCGCCATCTTACAGCTACCGTTGCACCGAAAACACGGCAAAAATTTCACATCCCCACACCCATCACAAACCTTCCCTGCTCTTTTCTTCGGCAAACCCTTAATTAAATCCCCAAACCAACCTTCGTCCACCATCCTCATCACTTCCTTCGCTCCCCCAACGTGCCTCCCCTTAATGAAAACCTGCGGCGGCGTCGCTTGGTTTGTCCCTTTCGTTAATTCCCGTAACTCTTCTTTGAACCCTCGATCCATCGAAATATCCCGCTCGCAAATAACAACCCCGTAACCTTCAATCGCTGATCTAACCTCGTTGCAGTCTTCAAATGTCTTACGGATTCCCCTCAACGTCGTCGTATAAAGCACCACTCTGTTTTCTCCGTTTGGTGGACATATATTCTCGAATTTGTCGAGCACCGATGGTTTCGAAACAGATTCACTTCCGGAATCGGATTTGTGCTGCGGTGAAGAACTCGAAAGAGGAGTCTTCGTGAAGGTGCCTTTTTTGTTTAAATTAGGATCGGCGTTTTCCTTTTCGGGGAGCAGTGTGTTAGGGAAACGGAAGCTCTCCGCCTGGAATTTCTCCAGCAGCGAAGATCGTGAGATCCGCCGCTTTGGAACGCCGCCGCTTTTTACAATAATAGGGTTCAGAATTGGAGAGAAACGGAAGCTATCGGCATCGAGCCCGGACATGAGCTCCCAGGAGTTAATGATCTCGGGCTGGAGAGGGACGAGTCTGGTCTCTGAACAGAGCGATTTGGACTCACCGAAGGTGGATACGGAGGCGAAAGATGGGTCTGGAGAGGGCGGCGTAGTGGTGGATTGCGACGGGGGGTCAAGAGTGAGTAGCCCATACGTGGTGGAAGTGAGTGAAACAATGTGGTGACCGAATGCTGTGCTACCGAGTTGAGTGAACTCGTCATCCCGGTTCAGCAAATTAGATGAAACACAACCCATTGCCACAACAAAAGGGAAACTGGTAGACGAAGATAGATGCAGTCTCCTTTTCCTGAGCTTGGGGAGAATCAGTGTCAGAGAAAGAGAATAATATAAAGAAGCTTAATTGATTGAAGATATAAATAGTAAATTATTTGAATGAAAAATTAATTTAAATTTAAACCAAGTTTAAAGCTTTCTTTTTTATAAGTTTAAGAAGTAAAAGTGAAGGATAGAGGGAAAAGTCGAGTTATTCAAATTTATTTTGGTGGGAAACAGCGTTTCGCCTGGGCAAAGGCTCTCAATTTCAATTATTCAAACCACAATTGAATAGTGATAGTTATTGGATTTGATCAGATTTAAAAGTTTGAAAATCTGAGAAATTTTTAATACTTAAAATAATTATTCTTATTTTATTCAAAAAAAATCAGATATCTAAATTTTTGGATCAAATATCTAGATCCGAATATAAATTTTAATTTGACCAAAAAATAATTTTAAGTTTATATTTTTTGATTTAATATAACTTATTTGATATCTCTATCACATTATATATGTATATATTTGATTACTCATACACAATAAATAATTAAATATCTTAATTATTATTGGGTTTGAGCTTTAATTGGTTAATGGGTTAGGGCTAAAAGGTTTCTAAAATCTAAAAGTCTAATTTTTTGGATAATCCAAAATTGAAATTTATTCAACTCGTATTTAATCTGATTATCAAATTTTTTTTCGTATATTCAATCTGAATTATCTAAAAATAAAAAAACATATTGAATAATGATAGCCACATGTGTCCTGTGTGGATGGGCAATGGTAGGATAGGGTGTGAAAAGTTCCTTAATTCAAAAATTTATTTATTTATTAATTTTATGTTGTTCGAGATAACTTGAATTCTTGAATCAATTTTTCAGTTTAAGTCGAGTTGAAATTTCAAGTTTTTTGATTCACTTAAAAATAAAAAAATTTAACTGAGTTTTTCGACATTTTTGTGATTTTGGTCACTGATTTCCTTATTCCTTCAATTTCTCATTCATTTTAAGTCGAATTTTACCAAATTTGAATCACATTCTCCTAAACCATCATAGAATATCTATGTATTTTTAATTCCTCTTTCCAATAAAAAATTTTCTATTTTTTTAATTTAGTCTCTTAATTGGTAGAGCACAAGGTTCTTAACCTTGAGGTCGTGGGATCGAGTCCCACGGAGGGCATTTCATAATTTGGAGGTCTTTTACGGAAGCTGCTCTCAACCTGGTGTTAGGGGTAACCTACTATCTTACCTCCCCCTTACCCCATATATATGGGAAAAAGGGACAGCCATTCTCAATTTTACATGATTTACTTATTTCTTCAATTCATCTTTCATTTTAAGCTCATTTTTAATTAAATTTGAATTACATGTTCCCCTGCAACTATAGAATACTTATTTAACTTCAATTCATATTTTTAACTAAAAATATACTCTATTTTTTCAATTTAGTCTCTTAATTTTGTACTTTACTCAATATGAACTTTTGACTATAATTATTTATAAATTCTTTATTCCCATCAATTCCTGGACTCGTTTATATTCTACCCTCAAAATATATTCTTTGAGATGTAATATTTTAAATATATTTTATAATTTTAGATTGTATTTGATTTATTAAATAACATTATGATGTGAAAATGAATATATATATATATATATGGTTAGAGAAAGTCATAAAATTACAACCAATTCATGCTATAATACCATAAATAATTATAATTTAAATTTGTGTATAGCAACTCAAACAGCTTGACTTGACTCGAATTTTTTAAACACAACTTGACTCTAAAATATTTTAAATTAAATTTATATCATAAAATATGACTCATAAACTCAAATAACTCAAAATTTAAATTGAATAACTATAATCAAGGATTAAATAACAATGCATAAATTTTTGTATTTGCAGTTAGAGACTTGTCAAATTCACAAATGTGAATCAAAGTTAAAATGATATCCTATCAACTTCAAAAAGGAAACGGCACAGCAGATCTAAAAGCATTATAATGTATATATGTATATAAAAACAAAGTCAACTTCCCAGTTGATCCCCTGCACCATTTTCTTCAATCATTCTCCATATTTATATATATGTATATATTGTCAATGAATGGTATCACAGTTCAAATTCATCTTCAAGCTTCAACTGCTCTGCTGCAGCCTCTTCTTCCTCGTCATCAATCACGAAATATGGGTTATGTGGCTCTGGTTTGAACTTGTACCCAGTAAAAACATAAAACACAAGCGTAGCCAATTCTCCGGCCACCACACTGGTCCACAGGTACTTGTACGAAGTAATGGTCACCAATGCATAAACCACAACTCGAGTAAAGTAAATATAACAGATAACAACGATGTAATACTGCCTGAACAGAGTCAGCTTCATCAAATTCACAGCAGCTTTCCCGTCAGTCTTTGCTGCCTGCCGTAAGTTCTTAATTGACCAAACAATGGGGAACAACACCGCGCAACAACAAACAACATCGACGAGCAAAAACACCTGTTTCCACACCATCCAATCGTGGCCGAAGGGTCCAGTTTCATCGATGACGATCTGGGCAACATTAGCAACGACCTGGAGTGGAATCACGATCATCAAGACCTTCTTTTCTTTGTCCTGCAAGTATGGTTTCAAAAACGACCACCCAGTACCGATCAACACGATCAACGTGAAGAGCATCACCCCTTTCAAGAAACTGAATATGTAAAACAAAACGTCCCAACCATGAGCACTTCCTGTTCGTTTAATGTAGGACTTATCCTCAGCTTCACATAACAAGTTTACTGCTTTTAAAATGACGACGGCCAGCATGAAGAAATGGATCCTGAAAACGGTGAGTCGTTTTATGTAAAGCACGTAACCCCAAATCCCCGCCAGGATGAAATAAATGAGGGCGAAGAGGAAGTAAACCCTGGGGAGGATTGTTTTTCCAGAGGAGAGATAATCGCGCCGGTTTTCCTTGCCGTCGAGATTGTACATCTCCGATCGGACGTTCATCGACACTTTGACATGGTTAAGGCAGTTGGCGAATACGAGCGTGTATTGATCGGCGTTGTTCTCTTGGTAAACGGTGTTGAAACTGGATTTCCCTTTGAGAGACTTGAATTCGAAGACGAGTTTAACGAAATCGGAATCCAGAGCGCAATTGATATACCCATCTTCGAGTTGTAAAAGCACTTGCATCCACGCGTCGCGGGTGCAGAGGAAGAACCCGACTTTGGTCATGTCGAGATCCGGGTTCAGGTTCGAGAGCTGGATGCCGGTGACGTTGAGTTCGAGGTGGCCGGTGTGGGTGAACCCGAACTCGTCGAAAGGGATTATGGGACGGTCATCTTGTTGGATTTCCGTTAATCGAATCTCGGCACAAACAAAACGAACGAAAAGGGAGAACAAAAGGAAAGGTACACGACATCGATGGATCGCCATGGGAGAAAAATGGAAGACAATTATGGCGTGAATCTTATACAAATAACGATCTACAATTTGTATTGTGATCGTCGAGAATTTTATGCTTTACAAAATTACAAAATTAGAACCTGTTTTTGTTTAACTGTCAAAACCAACCGATTTGGAGTGTTTTTCCCTACATGGCAAGGGTATTATCATAATTTCCTACAGATGAAAATCTGTTTAAACACGTGTTTAATAATGAAATATTTTATAATTTTTTAGGCTTAATATAAAAATAAATGACCAAATTATATATTTTTTCATTTAGGTGTCTAAACTATTTTCGGTCAATTCATATGCTTAATATTACAAACGTTATTATTTTAAGTGTCTCGACCGTAACAACTGTTAAAAATTCTCGTTAAGTGACACAATGTCGTGTTCTAATTATTTTAAAGATTTTATTTAAAAAAACTTAAAAATAAATTATTATATTAAAAATTAAAAAAAAAATCCCCTTTCCCTCCCCCCCTCCCTCTCCCCTTCTGTCCCTCATCCCCCTTTACCCAATATTAGTATTTGGTAATGGCGGCTGGAATGATTTCAAAGGTTAGTGACGATAGATGTGTTGTCGAGTGACTGTGTCGTTGATAGAAATTCAGTCGACAACAACAGTGACAAACGATGATGGCCGACGTGGGTATAGGGATTGAGATAGAGGATTTCAAAGTTTTGGGGTGTTTTTTAAGATTTCTGAAAATCTTGGGTTTTTTAAAAAGCAATTATATTTTTAATTGTTTTATTTTAAATAAAAGTGTAACACCTCTATTTTCTAAGTCAACGCAGGAGGTTTGACCCGACGTATATGTGGACTATGCGAAGTTCGTAATTGAAGTTGCAGATACATGTTTTGTTCGAATTTTTTATCGTTTTTATTTTTATTATAAATATTAAATATTAATTTTATTTTATTATTTTACATGTCATTACAAAGACCTAACATGGGTCTGTTAGGATTGATGAAGCTCGATTGGACAACAAAAAATGTACCAAGAATGGGTTAATTGGCTTTTTGAGAGTTTAGGGAATAAGGTGTAAAAGGATAAGAAAATATGCACAACGATTTATAGTGGTTCGACTTATCAACCAAGTCTACATCCACTACCTTAGCTCCTTACCAAGGATTTTCTAACAAATTCACTAATTTGTTCTTTCTTTTTCAAGGATAAAGAGATAACCTTTACAACTCCCTAGTTTTTCACTTGGCTAAACTTGAACCAAAAACCCTCTACAAAGGATAAAAGAATGTAAACAAGAAAACCCTTACAAGGTAGGTGTTTACAAGATTAAGCACACAAAAACACAATTATTTACAAGGGAAAATAAATAAATAATGAAAATCTCTTCTCTTGTGTTTGATTTCTTGGACAGGTGTTCTAACCCTTCTTCAAGTTTCCTCAACTTGTTTGTATAGGTTGGAATGTGTTTGTGGTTGTTTCTAGTCGTTGGGGTGATTTGGAGCCGTTGGGGATGAATTTTTTGCAAAATAAAACTGCCCAGGATAGGGAGTATCGGTACTCCTTTAATAAGTATCGGTACTTCCTTTATAATTTTTAAATCAACTAGACGTTACTTGTCCTTGGGCTTGACCAGTATCGATACTATGCTCATGGTATCGATACTACTGTGTAAAGTAGTATCGGTAATCCTTTGAGTATCGATATCTATTTTGCATTCCGGAATTTGAGCAAGCTGGTAGTATCGATACTACCTTGAGAATATTGATACTTCTCTTACCTTTGGTATCGGTATCACATGAACAGTATCGATACTGTAAGAACAATATCGGTACTACATATCCAAAAAATCAGTTTTGTGCTCAAATTCTATTTTATTGGACTTTGAATTATTTTTGAAAATTTCTGAAAACTTTGAACAAATTCAATTCAAGTCCAAAAACATTTTGCCTTAATTTGTTTTATCAAAATATTATAAAACATGGTTCAAGCCCAAAGCCCAATTACAAAGGAACCCAACAAACAAAGCCCAATTTTACCAAACCCTAGCCCAAGTTTTTTGGAACCCTAGGGTTTCCATCAGACCAGCTCCCGCCGCCGCCAACAAAGACTATCGTCGCCACTATCAACCGAAAAGCTATCACCGGAGCACGCCATCGTTGACGATGTCTCCCTCTCCAGACCGAAACCCTTATTCAAAAAAAATCAAAAAATCAAAAAAGAAAAAGAAACATACCAAATCCCATAAAATTCGGGACATTAAAAGTCTTGATTTTCTTCACTCACTCTACCAATAATCCCATCGAACCTATCCCTACAACCATCATCAAATCCATCAAACCAACGACATAAAAGTGGGAGGGGGTTCGAACGATATACAGAAAAAAGAAAAGAAAAGGGGGACTCGAAATAAAAAAGGAGGAGGAGCATTTGGTTAAAAAAAAGAAAAAAAATGAGAGATCATAATCGAAAAATAAAAAAGGGGCATTCGATTTTAAAAGAAGAAGAAGAAAAAACAGAAATAACAAAAAATAGAAAGAAAAATAGAAAAAAAAGAAAAAAAGAAAAAGAAAAAATTTTGAACCAAAAAGAATGAGAAAAGAAGAGATTTTTACCTCTAAAATCCGAACAACGTGGTGTCACCAGAGCCAAGAAGATCTCGTGAATCTCAAAGGTAGCCCTTTTTTCATTTTTTGGGTTTCATTTTTGAGAGATTGTGGGGGGTTTGGGTTAAGTCTAGGTACTATTTTATTATAGGATGTTGAGAGGGAGTTTAGGGGACTCGGTTGGAGGCTCGTTGGCTCTCCCTCGTGGCGGTTTGGGCGGCGGCTAGAGGGGAGTTGCATCTCCCCTCTCGATTGAGAGAAACAAATGAGAGAGAGAGGGGAGAGTAAAACATGACTAAGGTAAAAATAAATGGGATAGGGTTGAAAATTGTTATAATGGGGTATTTAAATCCCATCAAAAACACATCGTTTTGGAAACTAGGGGTTTTCTTGAAATTGGCGCATAGTCTAATCACGCAGGGAGGGTCTTGTACTTTGTAACATTTCGTTTTGGTCACCAGATGCAGTTTTTACTTATTTCTGTTTTGAGCTTCTAATTTTATTTGATTTATATTTTAGTCACTACTCTAATTAATATTGTATGCTATGTATTATTTACATGTTTGGTCGTCATTGTTTCAACGCCTTTTGCGTTTAGCCACTAATCTAGGGTAAATCACACTGTAGTCCTCCTAACCTTTATTTTCATGCGGTTTTGTCCCTCTTGCTTTGTTATTTAACTTTCTGCCCTTTTTTTTATTTATGCACTTCATTTTCAGCAATCTGATTTTTAGTCTTTAATTTAATACACCTAAAATTTTCAATTCTTATTATTGAGACTTTTAATTTTTTTATCACTTAATTTTAGACACTATCTTTGTTTACTTATTTAACATAATTTTGAGCATTTAATCCTTATTAAACTAGTCAAAGTTACTATTTTACTTATTTATTCTTACGTTCAAATTATATTCTTAGTTTCCACCTTTATTTTTTCTTTTCATTTATATACAATTACCAAATAAGCTTACTTTCCATCCATTTTAGAATCATGTTGGCATTTACATTCATTTCCTTTAATTAGCCCATTGAAAATTATTCTCCATATTTATGCGTACATTTACTTTATTTTAATATGTAACATTAATTGCATAGTATATATATGTTTATATTAATTGCATAGGATTAAAGATTATTCTTTTTATTATATATTAATTTTATGGGCAAGTTATATGTTTATGTATATATATTTGGGGTAGTAATTCATAAATAGATTTGTTCATAAACACTTTTTTTCTTTCTTTCTTTCTTTCTTTATTTATTAGTTTTACCTATTATTAAATATTACTTTCGTTTCTACATTTCCAAAACTAGGAACACTTTTTCATGTTTTTTATGTCTTTCCATTTAATTAATTTTATCATATATATAGTTATTAAATATAATTATATATTGTATATGAAGTTTTCTTTACATACATATCTATGAATATAGTAATTATTATATATTTTTTATTATCAAGGATTATTTCCTTATATTACGTGTATGCATATATGGCTTAATATATAACAGATGTTGTAGGGAGATTGTTTTATTTTTTATTTTTTATGTTTAGATGTGTTATAAAGTAACTATCCTTTTCTTGGATATGTGCTATGTTTAGCTTGTAGGTATTATTTTTACTTTGATAAATATTTCTTTCGTTTAGTTATGCATGTTTGTTTAATCGTTGACACGTTTATGCATACATGTGCATGTAACGAATAATTTATGAACCACATGACATCATTTCACATAATATTATGATATACTCGTAAGCATCATTCAATTCAATCCAAATAATTGAATAAGGGTAATACCCTTTCATTTTAAGGTAGTCGTGGAGTGACTGTCTTAACGTATAAGAAAGTCATTTTTGATAATCTTAAGATGAAAGTGTATCCCGTTAAGTGGAACTCTAAAAAGGGATCACACCTAAAATTTGGAAATGAGAGAAAAAAGTAATGTTCGTCTATTTAAATTATTCGAGAAAAGATCGATAGAAATTATAAAAGGTCCGATCTCTACGTCTTTAAATAATCAAATATTCTTCTTCTTTCTAAAAGGATTCATAATTTTTTTTATTTAATTTGTTTTATTTTATTATCATTCATACATTTAAATTAATAATGAATTTTAGAATGAAATGGTAATATTTCTTTATTTCGATTAGAGTGAAAATTGACTACCTTAAGACATGAGAGGTCTTTTCTTCTCGATAGGAAATAATTAAATATCGTTGTTTTTCGTTCTAAAATTCAAAAAATATTATTTGAGGGGATCTTAAATTAAATTAAATTCGAACTTGTAAGATTCATTGCAAAGACAAATAATTAATCGACTAGGTACCGATTTAAGGCTCTGTGGAGTTGTTAATCCTTCCTAACGCGTAATCGACTCTCGAACTCAATTTTTGGTACGCATACCTTAAAATGTTATTTTAATAATTTTTAAATTAAATTTTATTAAAATGACAAAACATTTTGGTTGCCCAATCACACCCTAATCAAAG